ACGACCACACTGTGGTCATGTAACCACATCGAGTCACGTGACCACACAGAAGTCATACGACTGCACTGAAGGTCATGTTGCTTTTGCATGACTTCAGTGTGGTCACACATCTGCACTGAAGGTCGCGCCATGGTAGCGTGACTTCAGTGTAGTCGCGTGGCTACACTGAAGTTACGTGATAACTTTGAAGTCAAGCAACGGCACAGAAGTCATGTGACGTCTCTGATTTCCCAAGAGCATTGTGAAGTCACATAACCTGTAATATTTTCACACCTGAAGGGAAGGTCTAGTGGAAGGGAGTGGCAGAGATGTCATGGCCTGACTGAACGATGATGCAGGGGACTGGGTGGGGCTCTTTGTCTGTGCAGTCTCTGGTGGTTTCTGAGGGGGTGTGGCTAAGCTGAGAAGTGACAACGAAGGCTGCTGATTGGCTGCTGCAGATGGTACAAGCTGCTGTGACTCAGACGGACTTCCTGTCTCTGCCCCTCGGAGCTCTGCTTCTTCTTCACTGTCCTCATCTTCATCAGCTAAAGGAACACGCCTCATTAGCGCTCTGAATGATGTCAACATGCTGCATAGTGATGGTCAGGGAGGTTGTTGTTTACCTTTGATGAAGTCGATGTCCAGCAGAACTCTCCTTTGATGGTCAAAGTTAGCCTTGAAGTGCTCCATGTTCTCATAACCAGGCTGGACTTTATCCAGGTGAGATGTGTCTGTGGCCTGCACCAGTCTGAGCAGGGGAACACAATGCTAACACGTCAAACACAACAACCAACGAGTGTGGCCCAGAAATACTTAATGCAGAGCTCTCAAAAACAACAGCACATGAACCAATAAATGAACAAACCAACAAGTCTGAGATGTCATGCTGATGAAAGCAACGCTGACATTCAAACAAGAAACAGAAGCCAATCAAAAACAAGAGAAGAGCCTCACCTCTGCAGCAGAGGTTTAGCCGACTGTGGAGGATGTTCAAACAGAAACTTTATTAACAACATGAACATGAATGCACCATTCAGGGTTAACGTGTGTGCTGCATTCAGGCTTACCTGGAGAAACACGGCCATTTCACATTCATCCAGGTTTTGGATGGCGGTCTCTAGCAATTTGATGCTTCCATTCAGGTACTCACTGTACTTCCTGTTCAGACCTCGAATATAGTCGAGCTTCTCCTCCTGCTCGCCGTTGATCCTCAGTGTTAGCTCCGCCTTCCTCTCCTCCAGCAGCGAAAACAGGTGGTCGAACACCTCACACACCTGGGATTTCTGCCGGCGACCGTTCTCCTGCAGAGACACGTTCTCCTGTCAGAGGGACATTCTCCAGCAGGACATTCGCCTGCAGACAGATGTTCTCCTCTCAGAGGGACGTTCTCCTCTCTGAGGGACGTTCTCCTCTCAGAGGGACGT